ACCATTCACCCCATGCAGTACCAATTAAATAAAAATATCATATGAATATATTTAATGAATTGCAGCACACAGAACAGTCTTCTATCTTAATTGTTTTTCAAAATTAAAATTAATAATCGAATTTAATTTTTAAAGCATTTTTTTCTTCTTTTTTTTTGTATTTTAATCAATTTGTCTTACAATTATTATGTATTTTTTTCCTTATAGTACTTATTTGATAAATATTACCAATTTGATTTGATAATTTCAAGATTTTATACTGTATTAAATATGATTCTAATTTTATAACTGCAAATCATAAAGACATTTGTAGTTAAACAGCAAACAATCAGAAACAGACACCTTATTTTATCAAGGAAGATAGGTGTTGCCAGTTTTCAAATGTTGATTGGTCATGATTACCTCCTGCAGTATCGCAAAAGTAGTGTCATGGGGGCCTCTGCCTCCTTCTCTTTGTAGGGGGGTGGGTAGTTCTATGAATGGACAACACCTTCTTGTGGGCATCCAATTGAAAGATAAAGACAATAAGGATTCTTCCTTTTCAGGTTTTTCACTTCTTTATTAGACAGCCTGTGGCTGATTGACCGAAACTAAGCATAGGATTAAAAAAATGTGTTTTTGGTTGATCTAGTGAAGACATTGTTAAATTTGTATGAAAAAAAACTTTCATATTATGCTTAAACATTCTTATTACATTTATTTTTATTTTTTAATTATTTTCCTTATATAATTTGGAAAGTAAAATTAGTAAATTTCATTTGATTAGATAATTTTTCTCGTTGATTTGAACCTCTTTAAACATTTTCTCATTTGACGCAAAATTGCTCCTTTTGCTTTCGTCCAAATCAGAAACTATTTTGAAAAAATCCATTTCATGTTCTTTTTATTATTTATGTTTTACGCTTTCCATAAATAAAATACTATGTTTCAGGATTTGGTTTTATTGGACCTAAAGGAGACTATGTTGACTCGCTTTCTGCGACAAAGGTACCATACTCGAAAAAACTTGTGAATGATCCCAAAAAGGAGAAGTCACACAAATGTGACGTTTGTTCCAAAAGTTTTTCCAGAAGATATAATTTGAAGACCCATATGCGAATACATTCAGGAGAAAGGCCATTTCTATGCAAATTTTGTAACAGTAATTTTACTTTTCAAAGTTCCTTAAGGAGTCATATAATTGCACATCACAGAAGTGATGTCCTTTAAGATAACCAACAGAAGATAGGGTACACTTTATGCTGTGTAGCATAAAATTAAAGCAAAACTAGGTGAATGAAGCACAATTACAGATGCATTTAGTACATACTTTATTTGTGCTTTATTCATGTTTGCTTTAATTTTATGGGTATCATTCCATATTTGCAAAATTCTAATTATTTGGTGAACAATTTTTTAGTATCTTATTTTTTCCCATTGTTTGAAAATCTAATATATTTAATGTATAAACACTGAGGTTCTCGCCAAATGATATCAGACCTGTTTTCTTTACTACCTTGTTTCTTTTTTCTTACATGTGTTTACAATTAGGCTTACTTACACATTGCAATTTTACTTACGTATTTCAATTTTACTGTCATTTGGTGTTAAGACACTGTGGAAAAGTTCTTGTTTATAGAACCGAAACTATAGTATGTCTATATTCCTACCTTTAGTTGTGCTTTATTCATGTTGTTTTGCTTTAATTTTATTTAAAATATTTTGTATTTTAACTACCTTGTTATTTTCTGTTCTGTAATTATTTGTTAAAATACATTACCAAAGTCAGTTTGTTTTAATAAGTTGTATTTATTTTATATGCTATTAGTTGAAATCTTCTTTTTGAAACTATTTTTAAGCATTTTAATATTTTTTTATTATTTTAGCATGTCTCAAATTTGAAACTTTTTATCACTTGAGTTTTTTGTTGATTTTCTATATTTTACAAATTAATTACCATATATTCCGGTTTATACATTGACCCCTTATTTTTTAATTCAAGGTAGCAAATTTCTCGTATTTCAGGTGTCTAAGTCAACTGCTGAAGAAACAAAATTTCTAAAATTTAAAAATATGAAGAAAAAAATTTGTTGAGTCTGCAAAATTTTCTCAAGTTAAAAATATTGAAACTCTTGAATAAATTATCTTAACTTTTTCTTAATTTTTTTTCAGATGAAATTTAAAGTAATGTTTCTAAAAAAAAACCGTTATAAGTAAAGGAAATGACGAGAGAAAATGTAAAAGTAATTGTATGTAACATATTAAAAATAACATGAGATTTGAAAGACATAAATTAATATAAAGTTATTCATATTTATCTCATTGTTTATTGCATCATATTTATCTCATTGCATTGATATTTCATGATCAATGAATGTCAGACTTTATTACCGGTGTTAAAGTCAACCCCCTGATTTTTTTAACATTTTAAGGGTTTAAGTCAATTTATACTCGAATATATAACATATTTGTTTTCTAAATTAATATATTTACTGTGTTACAGAATTTGTTTTTATTTGACCTAATAAAAAACCTTGTTAAAAATTAATGAAATATTTGATTTTTTGCTATAATATTCTAGTATGAATTGAAATAAATATTTTTTTTATTTACTATAAAAAAATTTCTTTACGTTTGTAAAATATAATATTACAGAATTTATTTTGATTTGAAATTTTACTTCTTTTTTTTATAAATATAGTTTGATTGTCTTGTATTTGAAGTAAAATAATCTCAAAAAGGATTTATTTATTATTACTTTGCTTTGACCCTAATTATTTCAAAACTTTTTTGTATTGTTTTTATTATTTACATTTAAATACACATTTTATAAATAGAATACTATGTTTCAGGATTTAAATTTATTGGATCTAATGAAGACAATGTTTATTCATTTTCTGCAAAAATGTTTCCAAACTTGAAAAAGCCTTTGAAAGGTCACAGGAAGGAGAAGTCACATGTTTGTAACATTTGCTTCAAAAGTTTTTCTACCAAGTATAATCTTGCTGCTCATATGCGAGTACATTCTGGGGAAAAACCGTTCCGCTGCAAACTCTGTAACAGTAATTTTTCTTTTCACAATTCTTTAAAGAATCATATGTTTTCTCAACACAGGAGTGAATTAATCTAACATATATTAGCAAATTTATTATTTGTATCCTGGAATATACTAAAAAACTTTTTTAAACTTAGTTCAATATATTTGAAAAATGATAACTGCCAGTTTTGATTTGCTTCAACATTGTTCTAGTTACTTATAACCTTTTTGACACTGTTGTGTCGTGTTAAAGTGTAATTAACCCTTAGAAAAATTCTGTAATTTTTATTTATTTAAGTTTTTTATGTTTATGTTTTTTCTTATATTTAAAGTTCAAATTACTCACAGTATTTGAAACTTTAAAATGCAATCTTCTTACAAATTGAATTTTTTGAGGGATTTATTTTTTATTGACAAGTGAAAGCTATGTTTAAAACTTATGCTGCATTTCTACCCGAAAGTTTCAAAACTCTGAAAATCTTGGAAAAGCTCGCAAAATGATGAAGTCATATGTTTGTAACATTCACTTCGGAGTATTACCTTGCAGCTCATATGTGAGTAAAAAAAAATTCCACTCAAACTCTGTGACATTAAATTTTCTTCCCCCAACTTGTTGGAGATTCATGTGTTTTCTAAGCTCAAGAATGGCATAATGTAAAATATGTGTTCAAATTTATTGTATTATTTCTGTAATATTTTTAAAATATTGATTCTAACTAAAGTTATCCTGTTTTTAGGGTATTTAATTGTGATCATTTACTCAATTCACAGAATAAGTATCTTGCAATATTTTCTTTATTTTTTTGCCTTAAAATAAAAGCTGTGTTTTTAACTTCCATATATCTTTCTTGCCAAAGTATTTTCAAAATTAAAAAAGTTCATTCAGAAACACTCCAGAATGAGTAAATTTTGCATCTAAAGGTTTCTATAATGTCTATTCTGAACACAAATATGTGACTTGAAGGAAAACTCACTATTTCAAAACAAAAATTTGCAAATTTTCAGTTTTATAAATTTTTAAAGTGTCAACTGTACTACCTTATCCTTGCCTCAATTGTTTTCTGCTAAATCTAATTTGATATGCAATTACTTGCTGAGAAAATTTAATATGTGCAAACTTTGTAATAGCAAATTTTGGTTTTACAAATTGTTTAAACCTTGAATATTTTATCAATATGAGAGATTAGTGTGCAAATATATTTTAATATATATGTTTGTGTATCTGAAAAATGTTTTTTTGTATTTATTCTGAGATATTCTAAAATAATAGTTTAGAATTTTTTTTTCCATTTAAAAATATCAAATGTAATTTGGGGATTTTTTATTCATTTATATTCCTGTAAATACCTTGATTTAAATTTATTTATCTCGAAGAGCTCTCTCTCTCTCTCTTTAAAAATTTTTTTCTTTCGATCCAATGTTGGATTTAAATTTAAATGTATTATCAAATATTATTTGGTATACCTCAGTTTAAATTTATTCATGTGTAAAAGCTCTCTCTTTTTTAAAAAAATACATTTATATTTATTTTCATTTGACCTTAATTCCCACACCTGACATATTTAAATCATCTTGTTAATTACATAATTAGTTATTTAATCACAATAACTTTAATTTGTATTTACTGTTTGTGTGTATGTTTACAATTACTCAATTTACAAATCAAGTGTATTGCAGGATATACTTTACTGGATGAAGGCTATGCTTGTAACTTCTGCTCATTTTCATCAATTGAATTCCAAAAATTGAAAGCACATATAAAAAAACATACAAAGATGCAGTCATTTGTGTGTAACATTTGTAATAAAAGTTTTAATAGAATGTATAACCTCAAGGTGCATATGCGAGTGCATTCTGGAGAAAAGCCATACATCTGCAAACTTTGCAATAATAAATTTTCGAATCACAATTCGCTGAAGTGTCATATGTTTTCACATCACAGGCATGAAATACTTTGTTTAAAAAATTAAGTAATTATCATCTTCCAAGAAATTTTGACTTCCAAATTGAAACTTTCCTTTGTGCTATCTTGATTTATCTTTTTTTAATGGCTTGCAGCCTGTAGTTAAGTTTATTTATCTTGCAAAGTAATAAAATTGTTTTATATATTTTTACTGTTGTATCTGAAATATTTGCTTATGAAAACTTTTAACAGGTATGTTTAAAATTATGCTATTTTGTTTTTTATTCTTTTTATTGGAGACTTGTAGTTCAAAAGACTATGAGGGCCAAAAAAAAAAAAACGATAAGATGTAAAAATTTTTATGATCCCAATGCTTACTACAGTTTAAGGAATCTGTTTAATTAAATATTATAAATAGGGTTATTAATTGCTGAACGATAATTAAACCAGTTCTTCGAATTCATTTAGCAGTTCTGGGATGTCTAGTTAAAATTTTAGCAAATAATTTCCTTTTTTAATCCTTTTATAAATATTGTATCATATTTTTCTTTATTCTAAAGCCATCTGTGAAACTTTTTAATTTCTCCATTAACAATGACTTAAGATCAGAAGAAAACTCCATGCCATCAGACATGGTTTTGGTTGCCATAGAAATGATTTGTTCAATTTCATGCTAGTTGTAAGAGATTCATTTCTCTTCTGGCATTGTTGTACATTTTCTCTTCTGGCAGAAATAGGCTGACCTAACAAAATGGAACCATAGAAAATAAAAAAAACAATAAGTAGGCAAAAGTATTTCTAGGAAAATAATTATTTGCAATGAAAATAAAGATTTCAGTTTTGTTTCATCTATTTATTCAGATCAAACAGAACAATATGTGCATCCCATCTCATCTGTTATAACACACCTTTTCATAGCAAAGGACAGCAACTTGTCTTATGGCAAAGGGTTTTCTCATGATGGTAAGTCAAGACCATCATTGAATATAAATATTTTAATTTGTTTCATCTGTCCAGGTCAAACAGAACAATCTTTACTTCCTTTGTTACCTAACATAATACATCTTTCCTTAACAAAGGACAGCAACTTGTCTGATGTAATTGTAATATTTTTTTAAAACATCTATTTACTACAGCTTGTAAATAATAAATGTCTTTTCTATGGCCAACTATTTGCCCTAATTTTGTTACAAATTATGGAAATATTTTTTATTTATAATTACTTTCAGATTTTCTTGGTGCTAATTTCAATGTGCATTAATTGTAATTTTTTTTTTTGTTCAATAAAATTCAACTAATTGATATTTTATTGTGACTGTATTTTGTCTATTAGACAACTATATTGGTGACTCTGAAATCCACAGTTAATTTAATTAAATCTATGGCATAAAAAATAAACACATGGAATGCGAAGAAGAAAAAAGTTCATATGTTTAATTATACATATACTATTATAATAAGCATATAACAATCTCAAGCATATAAACTTATTTTTCTTAATATACGTTGTAAAAAAAAAAAAAAATTTTTTTACTTCTTTTTAGAAAGTTTTCTTTTAAACAAAAATATCACTGCAACAACATTTTGCATAAAACTTAAAGTAATTGTTCTGTCTGAGAAAATGTGAAGAAAAAAAAGTGATTATTAAAATACTTTTTTTTAAACTTGATAGAAGTACATTTCTAAAATTAAACTCATATCTTTTTAGCCCCTAATTTGAAATAAGAACAAAAAAAAGTTACACCTATATCAAGCCTATTTTCTTAAATAATATTTATTATTATGGTAATTATTAATATGGATTCTTATTTACTATTATTTGTCCAACACTTATTCATTCATAATCAACATACAGAAAGTATGATAAATGTGCTTCTTCAGTATGCAAAATCAAGTTAATTTTGGTAAACTCATTACCTGTTACTGTCACAGCAACTTCTTTTAGCTTAATTCTTTTCTAACCAATTCAAAGTAAATGTATCGTGTCATATTGCATTGCTAAAAATATTCCTTTTGCATAGTTTTTAATTTTACAGTTTAATAATTATAATGGGAATAGTTAGTTTTAAATCATAGTTACCTTGTTTAAATATCTCATATTTATTGAATGATTAAATGTTTCATGGTGCTAAATATTGTAACATTATAATGAATGTGTCATTTAAAATAACATATATTAAGATTAGTTCTTTATGAGTAGTTTTTATAGAAAAATTGTTGTTTCCTATGTATTCTAACAATAATCTAACCACTTAAGGGGTTGGAGAAGTTTTCTATTGAAATAATTTTAATGGGAATAATTATTTTATATTGATACTTATTTACTATTAATTTGTTAAAAAAAATACTCATATTTACTGTAGTTGGATACTTATTTACTATTAATTGGATAAATCATTATTCATTTTTATAATTGCGGGATAAATAGTTACTCATAATTATCATTATATTATGAATAATTACTCATATTTACTTTAGTATGATGAATAATTATTTATATTTAACATAATTTGAAAATTATTTATATTTGCTATATTGTGATCAATAAATCATATTTATCATAGTGCAATAATTATGTGCTCTTATAAGGACCAGCCTCTGTTGGTGTTGTTGTGTTAGTGTCTTTTGCTTACAGCTAAGCTGGGTTAGATATTAGCATCTTATCTGTTACGTATTATTTATTTTAAAAGCATTTTCTTTCAACTAGCAAATAAAGTACTTATTTTTGTATATAAATTAAACACTTGATACTTTTATTAAAGTTATAATTTAAAGACAATAAATATTTATTATTAACCAAAGCATTATTTTACTACTAGACTTACTTTCTATAATGTTTTTATCTTACAGCATAGGGAAAGCCAAATTTTGTAATAGAATTAGTTTTTGAAGTGGTTTACTCTTTATTTATCTTTTAAATTAGGCATGCAATGTAGTTATGTTTTAAAATTTGTTAATATTTATTTTGCATTCCTCTCTATGCATGTTTGTCAACTTTGAGTGAATCATAATTGTTAAGTAAATATTTCATATTTTTCTTTCCATCCTTTATACATATGTGCTCTATTTTAACTTATTATATAGCTGTTTAGAGTTCTTATGCCTTTCTCTGTTTTAAAACATGGTTTAGTGGCATGTTTTAAATTTTATATAAATTGTATTAAAATTTGATATTCAAATTAGTGAAACCATCAATGATGTCATTTATTTTTTATAGCAGACATTATAAAAGAGGTGCTCAAATCAGAGGTGTTCAAATCATCTTTGTAATATTATCAAATCTTTCGGCTTTTCTTTAATCACTTATCATCTTTAAATCACTTTATTCGAAAAACATTTTTTTTAAAGAAAAAACTAATTTAGCTTTTAAATTTAAATAAATTCAGCTTCTTAGTTGTTTCTTAAAAAAAGTTATGCTTAATCTTCATATAGTTTTTTTTTCTATCAAAACTAGTTATCTGGTTTTGTATCAAAACTTATTGAGTTGAAAATACTTTTTCAATTTTTATGAAACCAAAATATCTTGATGAAAATTATTATGGCTTATAAAAAGTTAGTGAGGGGCATAGAAAATAGATCATTTAAATGTATTAATTTTTTAATAATGTAGGTGTGTGATTAGAAAATTTTTTTTGTATTTGAAGTTAAGGGATATTTAAGTAGTATGATAATTTACTCTTTTGTTAGAGTGTGAGCATGTTATATGAATAAATTTGTTCTGTTATTGTGCAAATATGTTCATTTTATTGTCATGGGAACATATTTGTTCTGTTGTCATGTAATCCAATTCTTTTCATATAGGCACATCCTTTATTTTATCATGTTAGCCTATTCATTTCATCATCAAAACATTGAATTTGTTCTATTTCTTTAATAATACAATTCAGTGAAACCTCGGTTAAGTAGACACTCTTGGGACCATAAAATTATCCGCTGACAAAAGTAGTCTAGAGAGAGTTTATGGGAAGGGTACACTTATAGCGAAAGCCTTTGTTTTAAGTGGCTGCCACTTACCACATCTTCATGTACATTTTGAAATCATTTAACATTTTTACACTGATTTCATCATTTTTGAAGGAATAAAAATATTTCAGATCTTCAATACAAGTTTGAGGATCCTTTAAAGATTTTACTTTTGGTTATTTTTCAGAAAGCATCAATTGAATATCAGTTTCTTTAACAGTCACAGTTCCAATCAATAGGATTATACCCCTTAGCATTTTCCCATCACCTGATAGAAAAAAGGGCAATACCTCCTTGAAGGTTAACTTCTAGTGAGACATAGAAAAAGATATGGAGTTTTTGTCTTCACAATCATTTGTCAAGAGTATGAATTAATGTGTGATTTATATAAACATCTCAATGACTTTATTTCTGTTCTCTTCTTTTAATCCTGCTGTGCCGTGTTAGTCAAAGTGGTTGGAAGAAGAACGTAATTTTCATTCAGAATTGAAAGAATTTAAAACATTTCAACTTGTGGGTTCTCATAACCTCTTTTGTCCAAATTAAAAGATCAAATGATGCTAATGTTTTACATTAGCAGTATCATTTCCTCTCATTTCTTTGTAAAGTTAAAGAAAGATGACAAGAGAGAAATTGATTTTTTATAAATACAGTAGCTTAATATTATTTTTAGTTATGGATAAGGCGAAAAATTTACATGCTATAAAAGATGGTGGCTGAATACATGTTTTATTTACTTAATTGTTTTCAAAATTTTAAGTAGAAATAGTTTTTAAAAAAAGTGGCATCCGGTTTGAAGAGTTTATAAAAATAACGTTATGGAGCATAAATGACTGCTCGTGTCTGGTTACGGGAGTGTCCGCTTAGTGAAGAACATAAACAATGGTTTATTTATTGCAGATTCATTGAAAATTTTAAAAAAATACGAAATTGTCCATTTTGTAGGAGCATCTCTAATATGAGGTTTCACTGTAGCAATTTGCAGTAAAATTTCCCGACATATATGTTTTTAAAAAGCCAGATTCTGATATAAATTATGCACACAAAATTTTTTTGTTAATAAATAAATAAAAATTTTCAGTAACTCAGTCATTTCTTTGCATAATTTCTGAAATTGAATAGGAAATAGTCTAGTTTCTTTTGTAATATTCCTAAAAATAATGAACTGAGTTTGTTTTGAGAGGAAAATCTTAGTATGTTATGGATTCAACTGGACCTGATTATTACCTTATGTGTTTAACAGTGTCCAGTTATGTATTATTGTATGTGTTTAATAGGGGACGTAAGACAACAGCCCAATATCTCAGATGCTCCAGAAATATTAATCAAAAAATAAAAACCTTATTTGTGTTTTTGTAGATGTCTCCTATATTGCATTCTTTCCATTACACCCACTTCACATAATTAGAAATTGTATATTTTCAATGTGAGAGAATATTTTATTGTATTTTGTTTTACTGTACATTGTAAAATAATGTGACTGAAATAAAATATTTTTATTTCAGATTATTCATTTAAAAGGCCATTGGAAACTGTAAATAACTCATCAGTGGAAAAATATAAATATGCATTCAATCCTTTTATAGCTGGTCAATTATCGAGAATAAAGAACAGAAAACTGTTCCACAAGGAAGTTTTTATATGCAATGTTTGTCAGAAACCATTTACTCAGAGGTATAATTTGAAAGTTCACATGCGACTTCATACTGGTGAGAAACCTTTTAAATGTGACATCTGTTTTCAACGTTTTCCTTTTCGTCCATCATGGAAGCGCCATGTTCTTTCCCATAAGTGACTGATTTCTTTTTAAATTCAAATTGATATGCACTTGGACTTTATGCAATTTTTCAATCAAGCATTGATTTTAAAACCATAAAACTAGCCTCATCTGGCCTTATTGCCCAGAACTGTTTGGTGCTCAGTACTTTTTATTGAAATTTTAATGTCATAAATAGAAATTATGTCCTTTGCACCAAGTAAATTAATGCTGCAATGGTTTATTTAGTTGTTGCTAAAATAAGAGGTGATTTATTTTCTGATGCTTGAAAAAAAAACCAAAAAAAAACCAGTATTCTTGCAACAGCTGGTAGTTGGTCAAAGGGGTCAAGGAGATTGATTCCATACTGTCATAACCAGCAAACTAATAGTGTAGTGCCGCAGCTATCAGAAATAAGTTTAGACGTGAGTGTTCTTCATTATTTTTTTAAAATTTAATCCACAAATAATAACATAAAATCTCTTCAAACTGAACAAAAACTTCTTTTTTTCAAATAACTAATTATCATCTACTGTGCTGACCACAGCTAGAATTACTTCTCTACTTGCTCTTAGCCTTATTGATTGATCTGTTATTTCATAGTGGCAGTGCCTTCAGCAATGCGCCATGCCTACTTTCATTTTCCAGTCAAACTGGTATTCTTCAATCTTAGGCTAGGTGGGCTTAAAGTTAACCACCAAGTATTGTATCCTAGTCTTGAACACTGACACTTTGGTGCCTTAACCACTGTACCACTATGACTCCTTGAGAGTTGTATACTGGTTCATTTTCACATTGATTAAGTTCAAAGCATGTTTCATTATAGTTTCAAAATAAAATAAAAACTTGATGAAAATTAAATTTGTTTCCTCAGAATCTCATCTTGTGAACATTTTTACTGTAATTGTATGATTAAGTATTTTCGTCAATGTGCTGTATTAAACTATTATTTTAGTTGTGTCATTAGATTTTGTAATCGTTGTAATTATGTAAACGTGTGTCTTTGCGAAAGAAAAAAAATTTACTTTTCATCAAATAATGTTTTTTAGAAGTAAAAATGAAAAAAAAGTACTTAATTTAAGTATTTTAAGAGCACTTTTCAAGCATACAAATATTAAAATTTCTTTTTTCATGACTCAATATTATGTAAAAATTTATAGCACGTGAGTGTATTCTGAAAGTGGATTTTTTTTTCTTGACCTAGGATATTAAAATTTCATTTCTCTCTAGGAGGGCTTTCATATTGTTCATTTACGGTATTGTCATCTCATCAATTTCAGAATGAAATTTCATACAAAAACCAGTCTCACTTGGATTCATTGGTTCAATCCAGGTTACTAATACATCATAAATAAAAACTTTTTATACAGTTTTGAAAGAGAATATATATTTTTTAATTGTAGAATTTTTTCCTCTGTTTTGAACTTTCATATGATAAAAGCGCATGATCTTAGGGTATACTTACTATTTATAGTTAGCATATATTCTAAATTCTCGCAATGATCTGTAAAATATATTGTAAATTTTTTTTTTTTCATTTTACTGCTCCAGTGTGCCGACTTTATTAATTATTTTTCATGTAGTGCTTCCATATTTGGTTACATCATTTTAGTCTCTACAACATTGCAATATTTTCTATATAAAACTGTATTTAAATGTAAAATTAATTTAAAAATTAGCCCATTGTTTCCATTAATTGTTGCTCTTATGAAAGTGAAAAACCTTGCCAACAAATAGCCAAAGCAGTTTTCAAAGAGTGAGTTTTCTGTGGACATCTATTTTTGGTAATCTGTATGTATGGGTTAGTTTCTTCACACCTTTTTAGAAGTTGTGATAAATAGTTCAGATGTTGAACTGAAATAATATTCAATCCCAGTTATTTGCAGAATTAGTGCACATTATTTATCATAGTTTTACAAGTTTATAGATTATTTATACTATAAAAAATTTATATATATATAGTTAATTAAAATATTTTGCATTATGTTATTAGAAATTAGTTATTGAAATTTGATTGTTTATATTTTGCAATATACGTTTGGTTTTTATCATCAAGGTTCAATGTAGGTTTGCTTTTCATCACCAAGGTTTTATGTTGTTGTATAACTTTAAAGCTTGCAATCTTATTTTTAAATTAAATTTTTACTTTAACAGCAATTTGTGTGGTTTTATTCTTCAAATAAATTGTTATCTGCTATTTATTTTTGTTATAACCTCATTTAGATAATTTTTGCTTTTTGGAATAATTTTTTTTTTAAATTCTCAACATTGAGTACTTTGTAAATGCAACTTTTTATAACTTTGATTGTTATATGAGCTTATACCTAATGTTCTGATAATTGCTTGTGTGGAAAAGTTCCATGAATTGCATAATTTTATAATTAAGAAAGCTATGTTTTTATTAATGTAGTCATAAGCAAACACTAACTCTTACTTTTGATGTTTGTTAACACATTGACTGCCACATTAGTCATTGAGGGACTGACACGGAACTTTCTGCTTTGTCAGTCATCAATGACTGTCTGTTCAAAATATGATATTAAACCAAAAAAAATTACATTTTAAAAAAATGACTGTAAATTTATTTGAAATTTGCCTATTTTTTATTCATTGTAAGTAAAAATTTTAAGTATATCAATCCGTTAATAGCATGAATTCATGTCGCTAAACTACACCACGATTGCTTCTAAGTTGTGTGCATGGACTGACAGGAATTTCATTAAAAATACATATGGTGCTCAGTGCGTTAAGCATATAAAATTATAATCCAGATTTCAAAGTTGAATTGTTCAGGTTTCTCTCTACCTGGTCTTGATACTTATAATACAAACTGTTATTTATTTATTTTTTCCTTTCTTAAATATAACATTCAACACATTTTAATAATATATTTTATATAAATGGGACAATTACTTATTTTATATATTCTGTAATGTAATAAGTAAATTGTAAATGACATTGACTTTACTAACCTCATTTTATGCAGTTATCAAGGTTCCCACAGATCAGGGAAAACCTGGAATTGTGAGAGAATTTTATTTTAACTCTAAAAATCACGGAATGGTAAGGGAAAGCTGTAATTTTTTTACAAAAATCTGGAATATTTCTATATCATACCTGATACCTGGAAAATAACCAGTCTTAAAATTGTCCGTAACAGTAATCAGTTATTAAGATTCGAGTTAAATAATTATAATATCTATAACAATTATTTGTTGTAAAAATTTCAGATTTTAGTCGAACTGAAATGTTCCCATCCTTATTTAATGGTATTTTTTTTACACAGAAAATCTAATCTTTCCTCATTACAAATAAAAGAATCAAAATTTTCTGATGAAAATATGGTCTCGATTTCATTGGACACCTGGTATACCTGGGAGAAAAAAAATTCTGAAATTGAGTTGGAACCCTGGTTATGTTGAAAGAATAAGTTAAATTTACTGTATATAATTAAAGTGTTAAAAATCTTCTTAAATACCTACACTGAATTAAATTAGAAATTTTATTGTTATGTGTTACTTTGATATTCTAAACTCGTACAAACCCTTAATTGTGAACTATTAAAAGTGTTTGGAAGCTAATATGATCTATAGTTAGAAAATTGAAAACAGTTTTATAATGATCATCTTTTATACAAAGAGTTAATATCTATTATAAATAGCATTTTTTTTTCTTTTGTAATTTTTATTTTAATATTTCATTAGAACTTTATTGTTTTTTTTTAATTTAAATATTTTTTTTAATATATTTAATCAGTGCAGTAGAAGTATTTTTGCCATATCAAGGATTTAATGTCTAAAATAAATACTAAATTTTTCCTTTCTCCTTTAAATGTGATTATTTTGAATTTTTTTATAATGTTTGTAGTGCAAATTGTACTTAATAGAAATATTTTTGTTCATTGTTTTCATAATTAAAATATGCAAATTCGTAATCTGAATCAATAAAATTTATTGCAATATATAACAGTGTTTCAAACTTAATTATAAAAAATAATTTCATTACATGTTCTTGTGATCTCTTGTGTAACTTATTTCGTGTGTGTTTTTACCTTGTGAATCTTGTAGATTGTAGTTTCTTTACAAAAGTTTTGTACATTTTATACAATGGCATTTTTATATTATGCCTATTAGTTTTTTTACTGAAATCTATCCCTTAATAAAATTTTTTGAATTTTAATTGTGTGTGACCTTTTTGTTGTTTTTTATTGCAATCCCTATAATTGGCAGTATGACATGGCTGCTAATTCTTCCATGTAATTTCTTTTTATTTAAATTTTTATCATATCAAAACTTTTTTTTCTTCCATATTGTATTTATAAATTCAATTTAGAATGGTTTTAAACACCAACATATCTAAATTTGTTAAACATATATATGTATGCATGGTAATCATTGGTTGGTGTATTTAAGTTTAAACAAAATATTCTTACCGAAAATAGTCTTTCAAAACTTGTTTCACAACAATATGGGAAAATGGTTTTGTGGAAAAGCAGAAGCTGGCAGGTATGTATATATTATAAATTATTTTTATTAAATATGTTTGTTTTTCATTTTTATCATTATAGTTTGTCATTGTCTAAGTAATTTTAGTACTTTTTCATTTTGCCGGCACAAGTAAACTGGGATATTTTATTTACTTATTTTTAAAAAAATATTGTCATCTAAAAAAATTTTAATAAAGAAGCGGTTGGATTTACTTGCGCTCAGTGACTTTGATTTGGGGACTTAGTGGTGCTGGTAAAATAGAAAAGGACTGTAATTTATTTTGTTTAAACATTTTCAAATCATTTAATTTTATTTTCATCGATTAGCGTTAAGCAGCAGTGACCAACTAAATAGTGTACCTTGTGTTGATAATAGAAAAATTTTAATCCTAATTATTTTTACTAGTGCTGATCTCAAATGATGCTTTTTAAGGCTGAAAAAGCTTATAATGAATTTCTGAAGAGATCATATACTGTATCAAAATATTCAATTAAATAATATAATTTTATTTTTACTGTAATAAATGGGCTGTTTTCTTTGAATTTCTGACAAACATAGATTTCAATTTTCTCCCAAATCTACATAGATTCCAGTTTCTCCAAAAGTGTAATAAATTCTCTAAAACGTTGACTTCTCTATAGTAAAATATATATTTCTTAATTCAAATACCCTGGGACTGACAAAATTGTAAATTTTTAGAAGCCAGAATAAAATCTCAGAAACCAGCTTCTAGAATTATTGTGACCCTCATAGAGACATACTTGACTGTTTTTTAGTAATATGGATAATATGTTTTTTTGCAGTTAAAGAGTTAAGTTTTCAATTGAAAAATCAGCAGAATTAATAAGGAAAGTAAAAATTGTAAGGAAAGAAGTCTTTTAAACTATAAACCTTATAATTTATTAATACAAAATAGTGGGATATAAACACTAAAGCAGTAGGTAAATTACTTTTAATAAAATAAATATTTTTTTTTCCCTTAAGAATTCTGCTTCTAGTAAGGAATAGAAAAATATTTCGCAATAATTAGTTGCCAAGGGAATTTTCGTAGTCTCCTAGATGGCCTGGAACCAGAGATATGTCTGTCCCTGGAAATACCTTTTATATTGATGAAAAATTTGCTATACATGTTCTGAAAAACTTTAGATTAAAAAAAATTGTTCTTAGTAAAAACTCTTCATGCAAGAATAAATAACCTATCAAATATGTTTTTATCAATCAATCATTATGATATAATTTAATCAATAAATTATAATTGATTAAATTAATCAATAAATTATAATTGATTAAATGATATTATAATTTAACCAAATGCAATTTATTTGTAATTAATCATTTGTGTAATTACAAAGCTAACACTAATGGTTCAGATCAATAATGTGCTCTAAAGAAATCCCTATTTAATTTCAAAATTGTAGCTATTTAATTATTTTTTATCATTTGATTTCATTTAGAAATGTTAGCAGTTATGATATAATAATATACTTTTTTCCTTCATTTACTCAATTTACTATTAAATTCAAGTTTTTTATTTCTTAATAAAAATTGTACTTATTCTATTAATAGAGATACATTGAATCTTTAATTCATGAAAAGCTGTGTTACGTTTTCTCATTTTATCACTTTTTCTTAATTGTCTCATGAAATAACTAGACTCCTGTTTTTATTTACGATAGATTTTATTTAACTCTCCTGAAAAAGTGCTACTAGACAAGGGAGTTAACTGTATTGATTAAAATTATATGTCAGTTTGTAAATGTTCATTGTAAATGTAATCATTAATAAAGATTCTGTATTAACCATTTTATAAATCTCGCTATAGTGAAGTAGAATCTCAAAATTAAGTATGAATTAAAAATTATCTTGAAATGCAAAAGCATCAGACTATTTAAAACTTGATACAAATTCTTTATTGTTTTAGGTTTTGTTTTTTAAATGAAAAAAAGTTAATGTTTTTATTGTAATGTTTCTTAAATGACTACTGTTCAACTATCATGAGAACTTCTAACTAAAAATCTTAGGTGACTGCATTGCAGATGGGTGAATAACTTTATCTAATGGAGGAGAATTAGTAAAAATACTTACACTTAAAAATTCTAAGAGAGTAGTCATCGCAACAGCAGTAACATGTGAGTTTGGCATTTAGAGAAGTTCTTGTGATAACAAACAGTAGTCCTACTTCGCTGCCTTTTTTTGTCAGTAAAATTTGGAAAATATTTAATATGCATTATGATTTTACCTTACTTATTTTGATAAATTAAATTATGTTATAGTATGTTGCGTTATTTATTTTTATATTTACATATTGGAATGCTTTTATATAATTTCTTTTTTATTTTACATTCTAATTTATTTTTTCAATATTTCTATGTGTCTGAAAAAATACATATACAATATTGTTACCTCTACTTGCAAAAAGGCATGATCATATTTTGAAATATTTATATACATATTGCTAAGTGCATCAAAATTTTTGCAAGAATAATCTATCATTCATGTATTAGTTTAACCTTAAAATTGATTTAAGTAATCTGATTTTCATAAAACAGTGTAGATATACATTGAATAAGATTAAAAGAATAATTAAGTTTTCTGAAAAACCTTTTAAAAAAATATTTTTATGCCATTATATATACAAACTGGTTTTTAATCTTAAATATTCTTATCTGGATTCAAACAGTTGGAAAATAAGTTCATCTATTTTACTTAATTGAGGCCATTTATCTCTCATATTGAAAAAAAAAAAAATCTTATAATTGATATTTATTTCTTATTAGTAAGTAAATCATATTATTGTAAAATTTTGAAAATCTTATTATTTTTATTTGTGAATTTAAATAGTTTGCATTAAATTGTTTCATATTTCTTCGTTTAAAATTTTATTTCACCCTATTTTGTTTGAATTTTTTATTTTAGTTTTATTTTATTTTTGTTATTGTTATAAATTATCTTAAAACTTTATTTTCAGAAGTTTTCTTATCTATTTTAATTTCTGTTTTGCTTAAGAATTATTTTTAATTGTAATTATATATTATGCCAGATATATATATTTTTAAATGTGCTATGTCTGTGTTCACAATAAGGCCATTATTATAATGAAAATGACCTAGAAACTTTAGGCTCGCAACCATAGATGTATATCTGGTGCATCCACAATCAATGTCAACAACTCAAAATGTTGGTAACCAAGTTTTAAATGGTGATATTAACTTGAAGAAATCAATTTAGTTAAAAGTTTTACTTTAATTGTTGTCTCTGAAAATTATTTTTATACCTAATCAGACTGACATTGCACTTGCACTTTAACATTTAAACATTGTCTTACTTCGTGCCACAGTTTTAAAGCTTTTTTTTTTCCTTCATTGTTATGTATTATTATTTATAAACTACGAGTTTGTTTCATGATAAAGCTTTTTCTCTTTCTATAAAATTTATTTTATACATTTTTAAAGCCTTATGCATCAAGAAAGAAAAAATTGAGTATATGGCAAGACCTCACTGTGTCAAACAGGTTTTAAAAAACCATTTACCAACTACAATTTAAAATGAAATTATCTTTAATCTCATTGTCTTTTATTTATAATTATCTTTTGTTTTTATTATATTTTTTATTATGTATTTTAATTTTGGGTATCAAAAAATTATATTAGTATGATATTATGAGTGCTAAGAGCTGTATGAGATATTTTGTTATCAAATAATTTAATATTGATCGAATATTTTAAGTTATCCAACTTTATTATCTGTCATTTTATAAAATTTTCACAATTAGTTTTATTTTTTTTATTCATTCATTTGCTTTTAATTTTATTTTAAGAATGATATAACAGATTTTCTGTTTCTTAACGTTATTGTAAATTAAATTAGCATTACTTGTTTCTACTTAATATTTATTTCAAATTTAAATTGTTAATTGTATGGAAAAATATTTAAAAAATTTATAAATCTCTCAAAAAGTACTAATATTTAAAACCAGTTATTTACAATATGATGTGGTACAGGAATGGCTAATCAATTTTTTTTAAACAAAAAGTAAATAAAAGAAATAAATATATTTATGATTTAAAAGTTTTATTTTTGACATCTTAATTTTTTTGATATAATTATTTATATAGAAAAAATCATTTTCAGTTAACAAATTTTGGTTTCATTGAAGGGTAGAAATTGTTCAGTTTTGCTTTTGACGTTATGATGACTTCAATTGTATCTTGAGCACTTTTAACAATAATTTCTTTTTAGTTTAGTCCTAGTCATTTTGTAAGTCCAGATTATTGTTTCCTCTATGTCTGAGGGCAATATCGGCTTTTAACGAACCTTCAGGCACATGTTCCCCCTACTTTAAGAAAACCAATTTATAAAAAGTAGTGGAAGCAAGACAGTTGCAGTACAATTTTATACAAGGTTTCAGGTTTGGAATGTTAAATTAGAATGGGTTAAATTAGCTTACCAACAATAACAATCTTGAAGCTTGTGCCATAGGTTTGCCATTCCTGTTCTAGTATAAATGAAATTTTATTAAGAAATAAATTAATTGTACTACAAAAAATTTAGTGAAAATCAAAATAGTAATTTTATATTTGACCCATTAGTGTCCAAATTGTAATTTTCCTGTAACATATTTTCTATTAATATTATTACGTGTAATGAATTAGAAAATCCAGTCTAAAGACTTATAAGTTTTATTTAAAAAATTCAGGAAATATTTACTCTAAATGTAGAATAGAAAAGAATGAAAGAAACCTCTACACAAGTAAAATTATGCGAGTTTCAAAGGAAAAAGTATTCTTAAAGTTGATAAGCTTTGATTATAAAATGTTCTTAGTGACAATTTAGTTCATTTGAATTTATATGTTGTTCATTCCTATAATTAAGGAAATAAAGACTATACCTAACCTTTATTTCTTGTTGGTGAGCTTACAATCGGTGAAATCATAAACCCCCAACACTCGCTTGAATCATAATAGTATTTTAGGATTTGTTATCTTAGCATTTTAGTTCGTTGTCAAAAAGAGACCTAATATTACTTATCAGCTGTTTGTTGTCAAATACAGTTGGAATTTTCTTCCACTTTGAAATGCGTAAAGATTGTCACTTAGTATCTTCATATACTGAGATTTTTGAAGTTAAAAGACTACAAAATAAATGAGATTAAAATAAGATCTTTCTTCCAAAAAAATCTTAATTTTTTTATAATAGCCACTTTAAATCTTCTTTTAAAGCTCTTTAACGATATTTGTTGAATACAAATTAATAGGCTATTAAACTTAAACATTTTCTACTGCTTCATAATGTAAAAAACTGCACTTAGATCAGACTCAAGCACATGGGTAAAGTTTTTTAATGAGGAATACTTAAGTGTAATTAAAGTGAAACATAAATAAATAATTATTCATGTTAGCTTGTGTTTTATTTTTAAAGCCATTTTTAAAATGAGACTATAGACACTAATGGGTTCAATTGTAAATTTACATTTTAATTATGCGTAATCAAAATAACTAAACATTATTTTTTCCTTTTTAGTTTACAATGTCAGTTCGAGAAATAGGATGAAAGGTGGGCCAAAGAGACATTTCTGTGAATATTGCTCATATTCAACTATGTATGCTTCTCATATGAAACGTCATCAGTTGGTCCACACTCAAGAACGTCCATTTACATGTTCTGTGTGCTTCAAAAGTTTTAACCACAAAGTATCATTGCTCTGCCACACTCGCCTTCACACTGGTGAGAAACCATTTTCTTGTGAGGTTTGCCATCGCAGATTCACTTCTCGCTCAAGTTGGCGCTTACATCAAGCTAGGCACTATAAGACCTAAGTTAATTGCTTCATTCAGACTTGGTTTGAAATCTTTTTTTTAACTCAGTTTCTTATATATATTAAACAGAGGTGCTAACTATTATATATATTTATCACGATTTCGTTGTCAAGATTACAGTGTTATGGTTCAGTAATAAAAGTAACAGTTTTTGAGAATTTTCGTGGTAATCTGTTTAAAATATCCCCTCCCCCTTAATAACCCAGAATTACGACGTTTTATTATTTACTGCATATGTTAAGAAAAAAAGTAACTCTTAAGTGTTACTTCTTTTGCATTTAATAGTAAGTCCATGCATATATTATTAATATTAGGTAATCGTGATCGCAATGCTCTGTACTACCTGTAGCCAATTTTGATCAGCAATATACCTATGTAAAATTAGGTTGTAAAACACCTTAAAGTTGCGGTAATTTCTGTTTTGTTAATGTTATATGCATTATTGTATTTCTAATTACTGATAGCTAACTTGAAAAGTTAGCACCTCTGTATAAAATGATTATTAAAAACATTGATGTATTTATTTTTATTCATTGATTGAACACATCTAAAATGTGATAAACCTATCAAAGAAAAATTGCTTGATACGTATGCAATTTTGAAGATATATTATTATTTACTTTTTCATAATTTTAAGCTTACATATGCATCTAGTTTTTGTGTGTGTATTTTAGTTTATTTATTTATATGTTTTAAAACTTGTCCTATTTTTAGGCATAAATGAAATTTTATAAAGTGTTCCAAGTGTTGAGTTTATATGATTGTGGTGTATAAAATTTATTGTGTTGTGCTATTGATTATTAGAAATAGGGTTGTGGATTAAGTTATAGAAATACAAATATTTGTTTGGTTAGGTTTTTTTAAGCGATTTTAATATTTAAATGTAAATTACTTTGGTAAACAAAATGAGCTTATACAGGCCTGAGATTCTTCCTCGGAATTGTGATTTTCCGCTTTTTAATTATTTTCTACTTTTTCTATTCTTATTAACATTTTTCTTGTTTGTTATTATCTTTCTCAGGATGTTAAAAATCTCACTGTCGAAATATTTTATTGCACTCTTTTTAAAATGGTTTAAATAAAACTTTAAATTCCAAAATTAATATAAACTGGGGTAAAGGTAATGACAATTTTAATTTTACAATGTAGCTTAATAATAAATTTTTACTAAGTTCTAAGTTTTATCTATTGAACTATAGTTTTAATCATTTTTCCTATCCAAGACTTACATGTCTATTTTAATGTAAAAAAATTATCTTATTTAGTTAAATATTAATAACATTCCATTATTCTGTGAAAATTTGAACATTTTTATAAACATTATATTTTCTGACCTATAATCTATTATAATTTTTAATCTATTTGTTAAAATTTCAAAAAATTTGCCACCCCATGATTTTATTAGTAATTTGATACTTTTAACCCCATAAAGCAAAATTTAAATAAAAAATATTATTTATTAAATTTATTGTATACCAAATAGTCATAAATATTAAGTATAATTTTTTAATTATCTTTATTTTGCATGATTTTTCTTTTTTTCTTCTTTTTTACTATCCCATGCTTGCTTATAAAATATTCTGTATTATGTTGATAGAATAAATTGAACTTCTCTGTTTTTTTCTTTATTATGTTTGCTTTTTTCACCTTCAGCTTTATCTAAAATTTTATTTTTCTTATTGCTTCTGGATAATTTTACTTTATATTTTTTATGTGTTTACTATTTTTAAACTGAATTTATTTGTTTTACATTGAATATAATATTTTTTAAAAAATAAAATGTGTGTCTAATTTTGAATATTTTTTATTAAAATCATTATCAAAAGGGAAAAAAAAGGGTGCCAACTTTTATGATATATCTTAAGTTATAAATTTTTTCTCTAATAGAAGAGCTTAGTGGAAAAATAAGTGATGTTTGCAAACTCTCAATTATCCAAGTTTAAGAATATGTTACTGATTGCCTATAAGTATAGAATGTGAATTTATATTTAAAGTCTAAAAATGAGATAGTGTTTGATTAAAAAAGTTATTTTTATATGTTCTGGGGCTATTTTCTCTAATTTATTAAAACTTTTCTTCTAGTTCTCATCAGTTCTACAAAATTTTGAAAAGTTCTTATTTAATATTTAAAAGAAATTTCTGTATATGTTGTTATTTTTATTTATGAAAGACAGTAGGAACCTGGATTATCTGAACTTTTTAATGGAATATCTCTGTTAACCTAAAGGTCATTCCATGTTTCTTTATTGTTATTATGATTTATTGAAATACCTATTGGATCCTAGATGGTCATCAGATTTTTATATTAAAACTTATCTTGTCATCATTAAAACTCATCACCTGTACAATGCATAAGCAAAAAAGAAAAACATCCCTGAATGACTTTCGATCTAATGATCGGATCTTCACATACTAGGACTTAATTGTAATGGTTTTGGGGGCTGACCTCCAATATGCTAATTAATTATTACAGACAATATTTTAATTTCTGAAATCAGATACAAAAGTATACTTTCTCTGAATAAACAACAGATTTGTGTTTCTTACCCTCAAAATATATGGGGTGGCTGCGATCAAGGAAATATGGTCCCAATTGTGTGGTCAAGAGAACATCAAAATTTTGGACACCTTAATGCTAATTTTACTTTTTGCGTATTTCACCATATTTTGAGAATTTTTTAATGAATTGAAACATTTTTGTACACTATTATGAAATTTGTTAATCCAAAGATAATTCCTTGCAAAAAATAATTTTTAATAAATATTTATTATTTTTTTTTATTCTATTTAATAATAGTCTAAGCGATTTCGAATTAAAAAATATGCAATGTTCTACATTGTTTTAAAGAACATAATTTTATGTGTCAAAATACAAAATTGGTCAAATTGTCCCTAAGAAATCGAATTTTAAAAAGGCATATATTTTGTAGAAATGCAGTCAAATTTTGCAAAAATAATGTTTTTGAATTACCATTAAATAAAGTGCATTATTTTTTCATGAAAATAAACATTATTTTTTAATACCTAGTAATTTTATCTTTCCTTTTATTTTATTTAGTGTTCAATACAAAACTACCTAAAAGCAAGGTGATTTCTGTTAACAATATTTTTTACCTAAAAACTTGGAAATTTCTGTTAATCTATTACAACATTTTTAACTCAAAAACAAAGTAATTTCTACTGGTTTATAGCACTTTTATTCATTAGAATTATTTCAGACATCTCTATTAATTATAAAGACGTATATTAGACATACTGAAATTCATTTTTGCTGTGTATGTTTAGCAAAGTAATGCCATGTTTTATTTATACAAGGCTCCCAGAGGTCAGGGAGAACAAAAAAATAGTCAAGAAATTTTATTTTGACTCTAAAATTCAGGAAAAGGTTTAATTTTTTAATAAAAACCTGGAAAATTCCTATATTTTTCCTGGAAAATAACCAGTCAGAATTGTCAGTAACAATAATCAATAATTGAGATTCAAGTTAAGTTATTTTAACATCTTTTACAATTATTTTATAAAAATCCATTTTTTAGAGAAACGTTTCTATTCTCATTCAATTGTATATTTTTACTCACAAAATCTAATATTTGACATTCCAATAAAAAATTCAAAGTTTTCTGATGAAAAAATGCATGGTATCGATAAAATATGGTATGGATTTCCATTGAATTATACCTGGAAAAGACAGGGAGTTTTTTTCCTGAAATTTAGTGGGAACACTGTTTATAATTGTTGTTCTGTTACAACGTAATTGCATACAAAAATGTAAGTTTTTATTGTTATTTTTGCTTACATGTAGTTTTTTCCTCTCAATTTTAATAAAATGCTTTTATAATTCAGTTGTGCGTTCTGTGTTCTGCATGACTAACATAGAACTGATCATTTGATGTTAACATATAAACGATTTGTTTTATGTTAAAGTTGGTTTCTTAGGTTTTGCTTAAGAGAGCTGAAACCAATAATTTTTGATGGTTTCACCCATATTTTAGTAATCAAAAGAGTAATTTAGTTTGACCATCATGGCTTCAACTTTTAAAAAGGCAGCATTTTATGTTATCAGTACAAGTAAAATATAATAAAGTGCAAATGAAAATGGGAGAAACTTTTACGTTTGCTTGCAAAGTTTCAACGGTAACTTTTATAAAGTTGAAATTGTTGTAAAGTAAAGTTGACATCAATGAACTTTGAAAATCAATTAAACCTCCGAAGGATTCAAAATTAGATACTGCTTTCTTCAAATGATTTTTCCAAAAACTGTGATAGGGTTGTGTTAAATGCAACAAAAGTACTATGGATTTTAAAAATGAAATATCTAAGTACCTTTGTGATATACAAACTATTTTTTAAATAACCATATTAAAATACTATGTAGTTTTATTATTGAAAAAAACATATTGTATGAAAAAACATATTCTTGATATTTGCAGTTCTTTGATGAAAATAACTATAAAATTCTATAGTCCAAATATTTGATGATCCAGAATAGGTCTGGTCCCAATTAATTTATTGAATTCGATAATCAAGGTCCTACTGTTTTACATAAAAAAATATTTATTCTTAAATCATATAAAGTATATTGATGATGATTGATTTGTTTACTCCTTGTAAAATTATAAGAATAAATCTAATAGCAAGCAAATTAGAGTATTCTTACTATTGTTACAATACATTGTTATTCATGAATGTTCTATTACTTTTTTTCTCCACGAAAATATTAAACAAATGAAAGTAAATAATTTTAAATTTTTATTTTCTAGTTTTCTTAAGTTGCTGTTATTAAGATATATAAGTAGTTTTAAATTTCTAACTGCATTTTTATTAATAAGTTGTGTTTTTACTGCCTAAAAAGATTAACCTCGTTTTTTTATTTTATAATGTTTTAAATATCAATAATGTAAAAATATTTGAGCTATTCCACCATTCACGAA